TGAAGACCTTGGATTATAGTCGCGCTATGTCGTGAATTAACAGAAGTTGGAAATTGTGAACCACCTGAAATCTACCAAGAGGCTAAATGCTTAACGCGTCTGTCGTGGATCATGAATGTCCTGAATTCGATCCCTAGTCGGGTGGTGGTTGCGTACTGCTGGGGAGTCCCATACTAGGACGAAACAGCTATTCAGTGCTCCCAGATTTCCGGTGATTCCCTAACTGATGTCAGTCCATGATGAATACTTCTAAAACAATATTTAGTCTGATTGTGTGACGCATGTGTGAATCTTTGACCAGCAAGCAGAAAATCGGAGGGAAGCAAGGACACCTACCGAATTAGGCATAACTATTTACAGACATTAGGTCAGTGAACTCTGCACCATTCAATGCTAACATTCATGAGAGCATCTGGTCTCTTTATATTCATCTACTAAGTATAATTAAGACGAGAATAATCACACAAGACAACTTGTCATCGATAATCTTGTTAAAGCAAGTATTATTTTACAAAACTGATATTGCAGCCTTAGGATATAGGCACTAAGCTTGGTCTTCAATCAGTGAATACCAATGCAAAAGTATTTCGTCTGCATGAGTCTCCAGAAGTGGATTGCTTAATCAGTATTCATAATTCAGGTCACGACTCCCCACTTGTAAGACTGGATTATGTACACGAATTGGCGTCAAGAAACACGATACACAAGTGCACAACTACTCGACGATATACAGATTTCTGACACAACACATCGCAGTTTCATATCACTGAGCCCTATAACAAGCTACATCGACAGATTTCGTTTAGCACCATGGCCTATACAGCTACATACTTAACCCACAACTGACTAACTGGTGTGTAAAATCCAGCCCAAGAGAAATCAGCTGTGATCTGAATACTTGAGCGGTAAAGTCTTCGACTTTAATACTGAGTGACACTGACCTGACAAAGGAACACCTGTTTAATCATAGTCACAGATATATCCTGCTGGTAAGTGACAACCACAAGCACAAAACCTAGGTACTGCGCTTCCTGTCGGTTACCTTCCAACCTCTAACAACTTTCTTGTGTCAGCCTTCATGAGTATGAGAGTTTCACGTTGTCTGTCAACTGAAATCAGTAGACACGCATAGGTAGAGATTACAATGAGATGTTTCAGCAAGCATCTTAGTCTTTTCAGATTCTCCTTGTGATAATTATTCAAATACCGTAGAGATGACTGTCAGCTGGGATTCAGTTGAAGAGTGAACTTTACGCTGTAATTAAAATCACAGACACTAACTGTTAAATCCTCAAACACTTGATGAGTAAATCAAGCGTATCGAGAATGCTTACAAGTGCGAGGATGACAAACACTGTGTACATCCTCATCATTGTGATATATCCTAAGCAATATCACCAAGACTCTTTAATCACTGATTTACATAGTCTTTAGCACCCCAGGCAGGCAGTCTACACCAACCAACATGACTGAGACAAATCGTCAGAGACTTCATGGACTGGTGACACTTCTTTATCTGGCCTCCTTTGGTCTTATTCCCACCAAACCCTATTTTGGGTAGCACTGCATGTTGAGGTAAGCGGTGTCTTGGTACTCTCTCATACCATCTCAGTCGTTGTAAGTTCACAACATCATCAACTGACTTACTTTTCTTGCCCAGTGTAATGCGCCTAATCCTGACATTGTTTTTGCCGTTATTCGACAATACACTAGCAATACTCTAAAGAAATCGGTGATTACAAATCTACATTCTTTTCGTATCTTCTACTTTTAGGCATCATGTCTTACAACTGTATAGTAAGAAAGGAATAAAACATTTCTGGGGAGGCGAAGGTGGTTGATTGTTCGATGAAGGTTGATTTCAGTAGTATAACCACTGAAAAAAACAATCATGGGTGTCTGACAGATGCGTTATACACTTCTAGGATTTTTTCTGCCACTAACCTTGTGTATTGTACCTAATATTTCCAATTAATGGTATCTACTTTGAACATGTATATCATGTTATACTGATGAATCTTTTCTAACTCATCTAACTAGATATGATTTTTACCGTATGTTACGCATATTTGTACTGCCATTGTAAAATAATTTATTCACTCAGTCAATCATGCTTCCCATGTGGAGCACAGGACATCAATAATAAAACCTTGAGAATTATATGCGAATGTGGAAGTACGTTGAAATAATTTAAAATCATTGACAATACTAAAATCAGTTATTCAGTTCCAGTTAAGTCTCTTTAATGCTATTCAAAATACGATCTGTGAAGAAAACAACTTTGAATATCATGAATACATAGTTTTGACGTCAACAACTACATTTTTTGACTTTAAGGCTGAAGTCAGTGGGAAAAGTTCGACTAAGGACCTTGAGAATCACATTGGTGCTAGAAGTGTAACCTCTACCCACGAGTTAAGTACACACAAAGAGTCAAGAGAGACTAATTCAAGAATGCATTCGAATCCAAATTTAAATCTGAATGAATCTAATACTATTGTTCCTGGTGACCAAGGCAATGGATCCTGTATACGATCTACCAGTAAATAGAAGAGAAATTCTTACCTCTTTCCGTTTCCTCACAGAAGTATGAAATGACAATTTTAATGACTACGTTGATTCCACTAAAATATATACTTTCTATCACTACATGGGATACAGCATTAACAAATGCCAATTGGTTATTCTCTAGTCCTCAAAATTTATCATAGTGTTGATTAAGTGAAGCTGTAAGAAGTGTTTTTACTTATTTTATCATTATTTTTCCCTTGGGTTTTTAATGGAACATAGGGTTTCAGTAGCATGTCTCCATTTCACTCTGTTCTCTGCAGTCCTCCCAACCTGGCTGCACAACTCCCCACAAGCTTTCATTTCTTCTTCATGCCATCTCCTCCATGTCACCCTAGTCTCGGATGCCAAACTCGTAATTTCCCACGCGGGTTACACTCGACCGCCTGGTCCGACGCATGATGTCCCAAAATGATCTTTTCTGTCTATGTCCAATCCGATCCATCTCCACTTTCTTCTCCTGTATATTTGTCGGGCGATAGCTTCTTGGTTGGTTCGTTGCCAGATAGAGTTCCTTGACGTTTATTCTTCCTGGCCATCTGATCTTAAGTATAGAGCAAGCGTAGGCAGCAGCTGTTGACGAATGTCCACAGTTTGTCAGAAATGATTTTCGTAATGCACCAAGTCTCTCAACCATCACATAGAAGCACTGACTTACTTTACTGACATTAATGTCGAAAATCTGGATCTCGTTTACGCTTTATGCCGAACGAAGTGCAGTGCAGTGCAGTAGATCTCCATACTGATTTCAGATTAATGAAGGAGGGCCTACCGTACTGACTTTCTAATTCTGACTGGCTTTGAAATCTTCATCTGTGTCGCCACCTGTAGTTGAAATGATGCAGCATTGCCTAGGTAGGTGAAAGCGACAACTTGCTTCAGATTTCTACCACTGATGGTGATTGGTGCTTGTCACTGTCATTGTTGTTGCTGATGATTGGGTATCTTTGTCATCTCTGTCTTCTCTACGTTCACCTGAAAGAAGTCCCATCTTCACTACCTCTTCTGGTCACTTGTTAGTTTTCGCCTGCAGAACATCGAGTTTGTGCAACAACACATTAGACATAAATCATCATGGTTGACGAAATCCAAATCACCTTCTAGAGTCTTTTCATCGGTTCAGCCAGCGTATGCCCTCCTTCTCGCTCCTCACACCTCCTTGCATGATCCAATCCAGTCCACTCCAGTCCAGTCCAGTTCAGTCGACCACAATCAAAAAGATCATCGGTGATGTTAGGCTGCCTTGTCTTGTCTTACTCCTGTCTTCACTTCACTTCACTCCAAAGGCATCACTGAGCTTCCCATTGTGAATCACTCGGCATGTGACATCCTCACTTAGCATAGCATATAGCTGTGGAATGAGGTTGATTAAGGTTTGTGGCACTGAAACCGCACGTAGTATTCAAGCAGCTGCCTGCCAAATTAATTCTCGGTCGACGCTGTCGAAGGCCTTTACAAAATCGATGAATTTGAGGTAAAGTTGAGTTGACTGCCATTCCATACTCTGTTCAATGATGATGTGTAGCGTAGGGTTGCAATTTGATCCGCATATGATTTGTTCTTCCTGAAGGTAGCCAACCAGCCAGCCTGTTGCGGTCGTAATCCAGTTGAATGCAGAGCATTGTTTAGTCTCTTCAGGATGATGCGGCTTAATATTTTGCTTGTGGTGGAGAGAAGTGGAGCATGATTCGACACCAGTTCTTGCAAACACTTAAGTCTCCCTTCTTTCTGAGTTTGACAAGGTAGCCCTTCTTCCAATCAATAGGTAGGTACGTTTCCTTCCTTCCAAACTTTCTGCACTCGTGGTGTCAGTATGTCTGCTGATGTCTCTGCGTGTGTTTTGAGTGCTTCTGGAGGAATTTCATCTAGTCCTTCTGTGTAGAAAGTGTAGACACTATGTTCATAGACAGTTGACAAGAATTCGCGATACTATATTTCGTATCCATCCATATTTATTGGCAGCATAATTCAATTCTTACCATCCACAAAGTAGAATTCACACATTTATTTGATGGATTTTCTTAAGCTGTTTTCGAATCTATAAATGTCACGTTTTTTGATGAATATATAATCAAAAAAAAGAATAAAATTTACAAATTACTCCCAAAAATATGTTAGTCGTCACGTAGGATAACACATATGTAGGCTGGTTAAAATCGATGGAATTAAATTTGAAGTTGTTAAGACTGTTGACAGGTTAACCGTATTTAGTAAGACAGAATGAATATTCTAGAGGAAAAAGCCGATGAAAGGTGTATCTGTAGCTGTTTAATAGAAGGATATCTAAGCGGATCGTATATTTGGCAGTAAATACTATTTACGGATAGCGAAATGTGGAAGATACCATCGGTTTATCGATATCCATGGGTGGAGTGGGGTAGAGTAGAGTGGCCCGGAGGATAAGATAAAGGAAATCAAGGGAAATAACTTACTTGATTAAAGAATACCCCATCATATTGTCCAGATAATGCATACAGTTCACGATGTGACATATTAGCGGATTTTTTAATTTTCGTTATATACGATTTATCGTGTACAAGCGCCAAGTCATCTTCACTTATGGAATAAGCCTAGTCAAGTTATAAGAACACAAAGAAAAGAAAAAGAAATTAATTAACTGTGATCATAAGATATATATAGGAGGAAAATGGATGAAATAATCCTAGCATTATTATTTGAGGGATTGAAATTATTTGTAAACTTTACTGTCTGTATAGAAAAGTTTTCACTGAACCACGGCCGGTGATAGGAACACTGTTACACTGTTCACTATTACTAGTCAAACAAAATAATAAATGAGTGACCTCAGATAAACAACAAAACAGGTGATCAAACATCATTTCCATGAGTGATAACTTTTTTGAAATGGAAATCTAACGGTAGTCAACAAAATTATTCTTTACTGTCGGCTTAAATTGTGCATAAAATAATTTATACTGGGTGATAATTGAAGGTGAAATAAAAATTTGGACCATGGCCGAATTGAAACCAGCAACCATCGGGTTTCCGACCCATTGCTGTTAGTAGGGCATCGTCAGTACACAAAGGATAAGTTAGAGGATCGAGTCACATCAGTATATGTATATCAGTTTACTTGCTTCTGTGGAGCCATATCATGTGCCAGCTAATGGAATATGCTCCTGAATACTACCCAACCTGGATGACAGTTGGGTAATGGAAAAACATCTGCAGCTCTGTAACAGAACACTTACTAAACTTAGTATATTTGGCTCCTTTTGATAAGTCCTTCAAAATTTTGTGCAAGAAGCTACCAAGCCACTAGAGAAAAATCAGGTTAAGACATTTGGACATAGCTGAAGCATTAGTAACTCAAAAGTTCAAAATAAGTACGTATAACCACTTTTTTTGTCATGGATATAGTAGAGGATCGATCAATCTATGTAGTTCTCATATGTTTATTTTGTAATCATTTTGTTTATTCCCCCATTTTAAACATCTATATAGACATTGCGTAACTTTTCTTCGTCATGTAATTTATATTGACCCTCTACCAAGAACGTCTCTGGAATGCTCTTCTATTTTTTCTACTATGCATTCACGAATCAACAGCTAAGAGAATGACTTCGTCGAAAAAAACATCTTCCTGCACTCCAATCGTTTTCTGTATTTTCCTATGATCAAATAAGTTTTCTTCGATATTCTGTGCAAATGCTAAACATCATCTTGAGGTAGTAACATAGCTCCCCAGTTTACTACTTAACATCCTCCTAAATGAGACGCTAGGTAGGGAATGGGTGATTTAAAAAATGGCTTATGTGCATTGGCTGAAGATTATAACACCAAGTCATAAAGTCGATTATTATCAACATCGAACATGAAAATACTGTACACGCGCTCAGGGGGATGACTTTAAAGGCCACCCTAGTAGCTACTTCAACAACCAATCAGGTTTCAGTATTTCGGTTAGAAAGGTAGTTTTTCATTAAGTATAGTAACCTATTTGGTTTTCTCAGCAGTTACTAGGGTGGCCTTTAAAGTCACTCGTCTAGAACCATCTCATTTCTTTTCAGCTAATCAAAACAATTTTGTAGTCTGCACACGAAAAATATAACTACATTAGTTGGTCATTCAGTGGTCTAAATAGATCAGTGGTAGCGTTTCTGATGGCACTACTGGGTAACAAGGGTTCGAATCCCTCAGGGAAAATCAGTCCTTTCATGGCTGTAGAAATACCTTTCTGACAAGTCCCGACAAGTACGAAATCTAAGTCTATGGTTTCCTGTCAGTTGTCTCCGCGGTGTTGAGTTTCCTAACTTGATGGCCATGTTACAAATGATTGATAGAATTCGGTTAGTATTTAGGACTCAAGAACATGAAGTTGGTTACTATCCCATGATCAACCACTGTAATCATTTTGTTTCATATCTGACCTACAAAACAGTTTGTTTTGACTATAGATGTATCAATCAATTTATTCACGGAGTTGAAATCATGCAAGAAAGGATAGTGAAGTGTAAAGACTTTGTGGGATATTTATAGCTCAAGATGTGGACGTTCTGGTTGATCATTTCAAAAGCACTCTCTGACGACAATGTCTAGCATTACTGTGAAACGTTTACCAACAAAAAAACCCAGCTCAGGGAACAATTCAATCTAAACACATGGTGATATGTGGAGAATTGATAAAAAGCTTCGATATTATTGACAGGAAACGTGATTCCTATTCTTCAAGCACTACAGATCTGTGGTTTCAAACATGGAGATAACGAAAATCTTAGAATTATGTCAGTTATAGCCATGCTGTTTCCTTTACAGATATGGTTGAATGATATTCCATTGTAGTGAACATTATCGTTGGAGTAATAACATGTAGCTGGAAAAACTGGACGGATTTATGTATCTAAGTACTATACTGTACTACTTTTTGCCTTAGATATATGCTTTAGATAAATGTAGATGGCTCACTTTCATAGTTAGATTTTATAGGGCAAAAATGTATGGGATTTTGGTGGGGTCAGTCAAATCCAATTGTAATGTATGCTGCCCGTCTGGCTGTATACTATTTTTAGCTGAGATACCGAAATCAATAACTGCTGTGACCTTGAAGTTCATAATTTCACGACAAGGTCAGGAAATTAGCGTGAGCAAACACACTCAAACCATTACACAAATAACAATAACCTATTGTGATTGAGAAAATACAATGAAACATCACTGTGATTTGTTTAATAAAACTGATAGCATAATTTTGGTGGTGAGTTACCACTCAAATCGTTCAGTAGTATATATTGACAATAATCTTCAGTGTTGGTTGTTCAGTTACGTGACTGACCCGATGCTGAACTTTTGAAAAGTCACAAAGAAGGTCTGTAATAGGCGAGAGTAGAGAGAAAAGGTCAAAAATCCTTCTCTTCTCAATTTCTTACCAAAACATTCTACTTATGGAATTGTACCGCGGAACTGAAGATAAGATGCTATTCAGTTCTGCACTAATATGCTAATATAGTTCTATTTATGGACTTACGATTTCGTTAGTAAGCCAATTTTAGAGAATTCGTTTTCATGATGGGGTGATACCATATGGAGAACTATTGAACCACTTATGGGTGACCATGAGATCTTGTTACAAACATTTGAACATTTAGGTACTAATTTGGAATCTAAACATTGACATCAGCTACATAACATGAGGGTCCTTTCATATTTTAAGCCGGAGCCCTTATGGATTGGTGAGTATGCACTGTTCAAGACTGCCAAACTAATGGGGGGAAGCAACTGATCATGACTTCTAGGTTTTCAGGCATCTTTTAGCTGATGAAACTTTTGTTATGAGAACTTCTATACTTATGAAACGTGCATTATGCATCAAAATCAACCAGAAAAAAACTATTGCAAACAGATGTGTAATGAAAAGTTGCTTTCTACTAGTTTAAGGCTGCCCACAAGTGTGCACCCATTAATACTCTTCCATGTAGGATTATATCTAGGGTCCTTAGCCTATGGATTGGAATCCAGTGTATCATGTTTCCTAACCTTTATCAATCAACCATCATCATTCAATGAGATCTACATTCGTTTGTCGTTATATCCGATACAGTTGATTCTGTAATTCGTAGTTTCTCACTGAAACTTCTTGAAGTCCGTCACAAATCAAGTAGTCATTCAGAGTTGAAACAACCAACTGCCTGGTATTCGATTATACATAAATCTTTCGGATCAGATCTTAAGCACGATACCGACAATTAATTAGGAAGATATTAATGAACAGTTCAACCGTTTTACTTTGATAATAACTAGTCAGTAAAAAGTCAATTTGCGAGACCTCGATGAAATAGATTAAGTGTCTTTCACAATATATCAGTAGAGTGGATATTCATATTCTGTATTTGCAAACACAGAGATAGAAGAGATCGAGCTTCGGGTACTGTTGGAGGTACATGCAAAATCCACACTTCCCAGCTGCTTGCATTACTGAATTGTTGTGGACGTACAAAATGCTAAGTCAACGCATTCGAAACACGTACATGCGCTGAGTAAAATGACAGCTTATGTACTTAAACTTATATTTTGTATTATACCCCTAATTTTGCATAGCTTTTGCCTGCTGTCTTTCCTATGACCTTAAAATAACCTACATGACTGTTTTCACATCGTTACCAGCTATTCTTCCCTATGCTCTCATGGCTGAACTCTCATTGGTTGTAAACTGTTTTCACCTACATGTGGATTTAGTAATGTCAAGGTCATTTAGAAATGTATATATTCAGCATCCCAGTCAAGTGTATTAACCATTTTTGAGGCAGCAAAAAGCTATTTGTCAGCGCTCTGTCTTCTCTCCTTGTCTTTGCGCGTCGGTGGTATTGTGATGGTGGGGTAGTTGGCTTTATGATCTGCGTTACAGTCGATTCGTTTGTACGTTAAGTTCGTATCGCTCGCAGGTCATACTATCAGTCATAGCATATTAAGCGTAACCTGACTAATAATCACACAAATACAATCAACAAACACTCACGCACACACAAGTCAAAAAAGGAATACCTCTATTCAGTAGAGCATCCGCATCTCCAATTATCTCACGATATCAAGTTACTTTTGTTTCGAATATAACTATAACTTAGCAACACCGAGGAATTCGTTCTGCTTCTAAGTTTTTTGCAATAGGGTGAATCTAAAATCATGAGTAATCGCAAATCTTCTTGAAGAATGAAACGGGGGATCAATTTCTTCTGAAATTAGAATTTTTCTCTCTAAGAACCACGTTCCACAGCATCCAACACTGAAGAAGCGCATTGCAGTGCTGCTTAATATCTAACCTCGTGGTCAAATCAAAGCCTAGGTTCACATTTATCGGTAAGCTCTCAAGGCTAGATATATATAGGGAGTACTATCTGGTAACCAAATGGTTGAAAAATATGTTCACTTATTCACAGGGACCACTAGGATTACAGACATGGCACTGCCAAGCCCGTTGGTTTTATGCTTTCATAGAGATCGTTGGTTATTAGCTGATTATTCCACAGTTTTACAACGTCAGTAGGTTGTGTTTAAATTAGGTTCGTTTTGTTCCTTTTGTCCATAGATTTAGAGAATTTATCGTAGCCTGAGAGTAAAGTTAACATTTTATCTACGTGGACACCTTGATCAAAGAGAACCATAATTGCTCACTTATCCGAACGTGTAGTTAGTATATCTCTTACATGCATTCCAGTGTTAAAGGTGATTCTGCCGCCGATACTATAAGGAGAAGAATACCAATTTGACCTAGGAAGCTAGTCTTTGAATCATCACTGAGATTATTATATGTCTGCTACCCAACGTTTTTCTAGCAACCTGAAGATAAAGATTTAGCAGCTGGACACTTCCATCTGAGTATATTAACTCATATAGTTTTGTTAAGCCGGGTATGTAGGCCATCTGATGAGAGTGTTATACAAAAGGATTCATGTGTACTACCCCGAACGATTACAGAGGGAATTACAAATTGATAAGTGGTATGGTTAAACGCGTCGTTAATACGGGTCATTCTGTCTCAATAAGCTTCTCCTATAAGGTCGTTTGCATAGTGAAAAGAAACTTTACAAAGGCTGTATGCCATTCATACACTGATTAGTCACAGGAAAACAATTGATTTCATGTTGTCTAGTCCTCAGTGTTGACCGAATTCTATCGGTCGCTTTGCAATATGGCCACTAAGCTAGGAAGCCCACCATCACGATGTACTTGGATCAGTGTTACTTGGTTGGAGGTATTTGACAGGATGCCATGAACAACTTAAGTTTCATGCTGGTTGGTAATCATCAATAAAGCGCATCTGCAACCTCTTGGGAACTGATATCCCGTCTCAGATTCTCCTAAAGAAGCTATGCCTTACATAACGAAACGGCCAGGAATATCTGGCTTTCATTTTATGAACACTCTAGGATTGTATTTAGAGATATACTCGTATAATTTCGGTCATATTTTGATAAAAATGCTCACCATTCATAACAATTTATGATTGAATCATGATAGAACTGGCAGTTTATGTCCTTCTAAGTGACTCACTTTAAGTCCCATCCTAGCAAATGCTAAGATAACCAATCAATTTTCCGTTATTCTATGAAAAACTGCCTCTCTAGCCAAAATTCCAAAGTCTGATTGGCTACTTCACCAGTTGATACGGTGACCTTTAGAGTCCCTCGTCATTCTATATTTAGACACAAAATAAAGTGAAACTAACTGAAGGCTATACTGTCAACTACGGTTCGATTTATTACATCTTACCTCACATTTGAGTGTTAATATTGGATTGACTTTAAAGTAAGCCATCCTAGCAACAAGTGAAATAACCAATTTGACTTCTTTATTTTATGAAAATCTGCTTTTCCAGCTGAAATACAGAAACCTAATCGGTCATTTTGACTGTTGCTAAGGTGACCTTTAAAGTCGCCCAAATAGTCAGTTGGGTTCATTTATTTATTTTGTCGAGGCAAATTTTCATAAAGTATTAATATTTAATTGGCTATTTCAGTGGTTACTATGATGACAATTAAAGACATTTGAAACAATTATTGATTTAGTGTCCACCCCCAAGGCATTGCATATTTTTTTGTTTGTTACTGGTTTACATTTCAGACCGAACGTCTGAGTTATTGAACAAGTGGCAACAAAGACCCATCACTTATTCACTATCTAATAATCAATTGAATAAGGTGGAGTTTAACTGTAGTGATTCTGAAAGCGATTTATTGAGTTCCTGAAAGTACAAATTAGGTTCATCTATTTTCTGGGGAAAAAAATACCATCTCAGCCGCAAAAGAGAGACCTATTTGGTTACTTCACAGATTGTTAAGGTGGTCTTTAGTGTCACTGTTTTGCTGATGGCCTGGTGTCCTATGCATACTAGACAGGCGATGGATAATACGTTAGATAGCGACTGGTTGCATGTTATAGTGTAGAAATAAGATTACCAAAATCTGCACAAGAAGCCGTAAACCCCTGAAGCTTTCGACAACCAATCATGCTATATTGAAGTTTCGAGAGGAAGCATATTAACCAACATATGAATAACAGATTGATTGAAGTGAAGAAACACCGATAGGATTCAAATCTGAAAAGGCCTTGACATAGCCAAAGTCATTGTAAGTTATTTAAAAACCCTTGTATTTCCTATATATTTTTTGACATTGCGATGCGCCTTTTATTTTCGTAATGTCTTTTTTCATTTACAGGGAAACTGAGTGAACATCAAGGGTGGAATCTGAAGGTTATTGTTGAAGTGCCCACATTATACATAATTCAGGCTATATTAAGTAGTCGCTGCAAGGTTATAACAAGTGGCGACAGGGTTATTCATCACAAGAATAAAACACTGTACCTGTAAGCATGTATGTTGTTTATTTGCTTATGATATTATTCAGATCTTTAACCTAACTGTAAACGAGGTTACTGTTTTACATGCTTCAAGTATTAGATTCGAGTGTTGGTCAGAGGATGGTTAACTATCTAGGAGATGAATAATAGAAGTTAATATCATCAGTCTGTCAAACACGTAAGGATTAAATTTCGTCTGCTTTATTTTGTTGAAAGGTCCAGTTGGTAAATAGAGAAGGAATATAGTTTAATGAGAAAACTTTAGGAATTTCGCTTACCGGTACTCGTATACATCGAGATACTAAATTCTCTTCGACACAACGTTGAAATGCTTGTTGTATACGATGTGGACTTTCTTGTTCTTCAATGAACCATTCATGTTTGTGTTTCAGCATACGTTCATCATAAACTAGCCCAGTTGATCTAAATCAAAAAAAATAATCTATAAATGAAAGCAGAAATTATTTTCACTTTCAGAGCTCGCCATCATTTAGCATTTAGCCATAAAGAATTATTTCTTTCTGTCGCAACAATTTTCACGGGTCCATAACCATCAGTTATGTTGAAGTTGCATCAAAGATTGTCGGAACACGCAGCAAATGTATTGATATTTGACGGAAAGTGAGCTACATTTAAATACTAAATATTTTAAACCTCAGTCTCGATTTCAGTTACACTTGTGGATGGGGAAATGTGCCCTTGAAGTGATGACAGGAGTAAGACAAGGCTGTTACCTACTATCACCCATGATCTTCTTGATTGCGGTCGACTGGATCATGCAGCAAAACTGTGGGGAGCGAGAAGAGGAGGATACGCTGGACAGGGAAAAGAACCTAAGAGATTCGGATTTCGCCGATGAATTATGTCTAATGTCACACAAACGTGAAGACCTACAGGCAAAATCCAACAAGTTGACAGAAGAGACGAGACAGCGAAGACGGGACTTCAAGTGAATGTAGAGAAGATAGAGGTGATGAAGATACCCAACCAACATCACCAACAACAACAACAAGCTCCAATCACCATCAACGGGAGAAACTTAAGGCAAGTAACCTCTTCCATCTATCTAGGCAGCATCGTTTCAACTACAGGCAGCATAGGCACAGACGAGGACGTCAAAACCAGGATCGGAGAAGCAAGACAGGCTTTCATTAACCTGAAACCAGTGTGGAGATCTTCTGCACTCAGCATGTGGAACAAGATACGGATTTTCAGTACCAATGTCAAGTCAGTGCTGCTATATGGTTCAGAGACTTGGCGCGTCACGAAAAGCATTTCCAACAAACTACAGACATTCATCAACAACTGCCTACGCTCACTCAATACTGAAGATCAGATGCATGGCCAGAAAGAATAAGCAACAAGGAACTCTGGGAACGAACCAACCAAAACCTATCGCTCAACAAATATGCAGAAGGAAGTGGAGATGAATCAGGCATACACTGAGAAAGCCATTCGGAGAGATAACGCGACAGGTTCTTGAGTGGAATCCAAAGGAGGAACGACGAGTTTGGAGTCCAAGTCGAGAGTGACATGGAGAAGATCATGTGAAGAAGAAATGAAAAGTTATAGGCAATCGTGGAGCCAGATTCTAAAGACTGCACAGAACAGAGCGGAATGGAGACGTGCTACTGAAGTCCTATGTTCCACTAGGAACCTAAGGGACAAATAATAATAGTAATAATAATATGAGGAAATAGGATAGAAAGAAAGTTTGGTAGTCACCGAATTTCCCCAAGTTGTTCTCTTTGCTAGTGCAGAGAAATGAGCATATATTTTTTGATTCCTGGTTAAGTAAACTAATTATCAAAATTGATCCATAGAAAGCTAAATCAAGCTGCAGAAAGGAAATTTAGCTTCCTCTATGTACAAGGTTTTTCATGACTGTAGTTAAGTTTTTGACACAAAAGGATAAACTACACTCAACAGTGAATTGACTGAGGGTTGTGAACTGATAACATCTGGGTAAGAAGCAACTGTCAAGCGGCTAGTGTACGTGTTTCTCAGCTGAAATGGATTTGTCCTATAATCATAAGCGACCATCAGAGATTTTCAGAAAAAAACTTGATAGTTTCTCTACTAGTGTGTTGAAAATTCCTTACTGATGATTTAGTGTTAATGTGGCCGGTTATCTTGCAACATAAGTATCCTGATAAATTGGTAGGGGAGGTTTATAGCTTGGAGTGAAAAGGATAGTTACTTGATGCTTTCAGGCTTTGATATTTATTCATGAATGTGTTGGCCATTGGCTTAGGTAGCGTCTCTAGTGCCTACGAAACAAAGAATATTAATTACAAAGGAGTAGATTGGTCACTTTTACTGGAGTGAAAACCTTAGGCTTAGAATGCATATATACTGATGTGTAATATTGCCAACTGACTGCTATCTCCTTTTTGGACTTGTAACTTACTCCACATTATATTCTACCTAGCTGATATGAAAATTATTTCACTGACTTCAGTTTTAATAGCTGGATAATATGGCTGACTAAACGTCTAGTAGACAAGACTGTAGTTGGTATTTCGTTAATTTTCTTTGGTTTTTACTTAGATTAACAAAGTTCAACAATAATTCCAATGCACTGACTTGATGATCAGTGTTAGCTAGCTAGTTAGTCTTTTCATCATCATCTCAAATATCTAATGCCATGATGAATGCCAATTTGAAATCATTAAGTTCTCAAAAACTCTAAACTGAATTACTCTATAATGCTTATTAGCAATACTCTTCAAGATGAGTTTCCCAAAATTCTACTCAGAGGCCAATGGGGCAAACGAAATTGGGACTGAGGACAAATACTCAATGATGGCATTAGAACAGAGCAGTGCTATATTATGAACCGACAGAATCAGGAAAATGTGGACCACAGAATTCTGACTGAGTAACTGAATGGTAACGTGCTTGCTATGCAGTCATGGGTTCGATCTCGGATGAAATTATGACTGCCCAATACTAAAGAGTTCAATTCTAAGAGAAAACAGCTGTCCAGTGATCCAAGAGTTTTTGTTTGGTTCCCTAAATGATGACATTATGTGATGAATACCGCCTTGAAATAAGTTAATCCCCAGAAACCTTCAATAACAAGTATTTCTTCATTAAGATTATACAATATTTCGTATTTGTTGTTCTTTTTTTAAAATCATTCAAAGTTGATGAAAGTTATTGAGGAATACTTAACCGCATTACTTCATACTCATAATTCACTTAATAGTTCTTACTGTTGCTGTTTGTTGCACGCACATACAATTGGCATGTACACTCATCCTGACCAAAATGAGATAGCTAGTAAACTAAGAGTACCGATGTGAGATATCTAATTGCTTTGTCTAGTTTGCAATCTAATCCATTAGACGAATACAACTTCAGTTAGCATATATTCAGTAAATAATGGACTTCTATTTTTTGTTCGATTCAACAAAGCAGTTAAAGTTTTCACAATCGTTGACACAGTTATCGGGCACATCTACTGAGCAATCTTAAGAACGCCTATATGAATGACTCTAAAGGCCATCCTATGAGCTGCCAAAATGACCAATCAGATTCAAATATTCCGCCTGATGGAGTAGATTTTCACCAAATAAAGAAAAGTAATTGGTTAGATGGACAGTTTCTAGAATGGCCTGTATAAATGGCCTGGATTAAAGACCACCCTAGCAATAATTCAGATACATAATGAGGTTACTGTATTTTGACTAGAACGGCAGATTTTAATCAACTACAGAAAATTGATTGGTTATTTCACTTGTTGCTAGAGTAGTCTTTAAAATCACTCGTTTTCTTGACTAACTTTAAAGGCCACCCTAGCAACAACTGAAATAACCAATAAAACCTTTCTATACCATGAAAATCTAACCTCAGCTGATTTACTAGTACACTAGTTACTAGCCCGTCCTAACCACGCATAAAGAATGAACCTTAGCAATGAGGCTAACAACCCTAACCCAAAAAACCAATCCAATAGCTAAACAAACTTCAAACCACAAAGGAAATATGAAACATAAAATTAAACTTATTCCTCACCAGAATCGGAGAGGTGAAATGACTCCAGTTGGTAAAGGCCTTCACAAAGTCAATTGAACAATGTGTCTCCTCCTCTCTTCATCAAAGCGAAAGTAAACATGATGACATGGAAGGTCAGCACCATGTATGAACACACCAGGCCTGTCCACATTCCAAAACAAGTGAGAAGGTATGGCATACAACTGCTAGGAATCTGAGAAAGCACATGGAATGGAAGTGGACTCTCCAAACTCTCAACTGAAGAGGAGTCAATAATCTACTCCAATATTGTCACTCACACGACAACCACGAGCACACTGAGTTCTCCAGTGGATATCATGATGACCCCAACAGCATCGAAGCCTCTCATGCAGTGGACACCAATCTACTCCTGCACAATCACATCATCACAGCAACATTCAACTCAAAACGAAGGAAAGTCACAATCATACAATACCACGCTACTCTACGCTACGCACCTATAGATAATGCGGACGGTAAACAAGACAAGAAGGAGGAATCCAACAGACAACTGCAATCAGTAATGCACAACACCCCACTCCAGTTGGCAGCATCAAATTCATTCTAATGTGTGGAGTGACATGACTGCCAAGCAAAGGACATTTACGCGTCAGTATGTCATCAGGACAAAATAGGAGACATTGACCAACATCCCTGAGGGGAACTTAGTGTAAGAACACTGCGTCTCTTTGAAAGAGATGTGGAAGGAGACCTGCATAACCCTGTTAGGAAGGAAGGAGAAGCAAGACGAGGAATGGATCTCGACAGACACATGGAAGTTGATATATCAGGGAGAGGAAGATGGTGAAGCAGAAGACAAACCAGTGCATGCATGAACAAGGAAAAGAAGAAGTGAATAGAACATATAAAACACTGGACAAAGAAGCGAAGAAGAGTACAAACAAAGACAAAAGACACTTCTACGACACACTGGCAAGTGAAGCAGAACAGGCTGCATATAGGAGAGACCTGACAACACCATATCAAATGACCAGATTATTATCTGGAAACAGATCAACACAGCACAGATGAAACCAATGAAAGATAGTGTAGAAACCTAGTTACCAAAGAGGAGAAACAATGGAAATGATGAGCTGACCACTTTAAAAAAACTCTTCAATCGAGCACCACCGACAACACCTGCAACTCGTCCACAAACACTACCAGTAAACACAAGCCCACCGACAACAGCAGAAGTCCTGAATACCATAAAGTTGCTGGAATCTCGGAAAGCAGAAGGACTACATGGAATTCCTCCAGAAGCACTCAAAACACACACAGAGACATCAGCAGACATACTGACACCACTAGTGCAGAAAGTTTGGAAGCAAGGAAACGTAGCTGCCTATTGATTGGAAGAAGGGCTACCTTGTCAAACTCAGAAAGAAGGGAGACTTAAGTGTTTGCAAGAACTGGTGTGGAATCATACTCCACTTCTCTCCACCACAAGCAAAATATTAAGCCGCATCATCCTGAAGAGACTAAACAATGCTCTGCATTCAACTGGATTACGACCGGAACAGGCTGGCTGGTTGGCTACCTTCAGGAAGAACAAATCATATGCGGATCAAATTGCAACCCTACGCTACACATCATCAGTGAACAGAGTGTAGAATGGTAATCAACTCAACTCTACCTCAAATTCATCGATTTTGTAAAGGCCTTCTACAGCGTCGACCGAGAAGTAATTTGGCAGGTGGCTGCTTCAATACTACGTGCGGTTTCAGTGCCACAAACCTTAATCAACCTCATTCCACAGCTATATGTTATGCTAAGTGAGGATGCCACATGCCGAGTGATTCACAATGGGAAGCTCAGTGATGCCTTTGGAGTGAAGTGAAGTGAATTGAGGTGAAGTGAAGTGAAGTGAAGACAGGAGTAAGACAAGACAAGGCAGCCTAACATCACCGATGATCTTTCTGATTGTGGTCGACTGAACTGGACTGGACTGGAGTGGACTGGATTGGATCATGCAAGGAAGTGTGAGGAGCGAGAAGGAGGGCATACGCTGGCTGAACCGATGAAGAGACGACTTTAGAAGAAGATTTGGATTTATGTCTAATGTCTTGTCGCACAAACTCGATGTTCTGCAGGCGAAAACTAACAAGTGACCAGAAGAGGTAGTGAAGATGGGACTTCTTTCAGGTGAACGTAGAGAAGACAGAGATGACAAAGATACCCAGTCATCATCAACAAGGATGACAGGGAGAAATCTAGAGGAAGTAGTGTCTTTCAGCCACCTACCTATGTAGCCAGCATCGTTTCAAATACAGGTAGCGGCGCAGATGCAGATGTCAAAGACAGGATTAGACAGTCAGTAGGACAGGCCTTTCTTAATTAGCCTGGAACCAGTGTGAAGATCTACTACACTGCACTCAGCATAGAGAGTGTACGAGATCCCGATTTTCGACACCAATGTCAGTTAAGTAAGTCAGTGCTTCTATGTGATGGTTGAGAGACTTGGTGCATTACGAAAAGCATTTCCAGCAAACTGCAGATATTCATCAACAGCTGCCGCCTATGCTGGCTCGATATTCAAGATTAGATGGATGGCCAGAATGATAAGTATAAGCAAGGAGGAACTCTGGCTGGCTGCAACGAACCAACCAAGAAGCTAGTGAAAGGTTATGGGGAGTCGTGCAGCTAGGTAGGGAGGACTGCAGAGAGCAGAGTGGAATGGAGACGCGCTACTGAAGCCCTATGTTCCACGAGAAACGCAAAGGACAAATAATAATAACAATAATAAATTTTGTGAAAAACTCCCTTTCCAGCCAAAATGGAGAAACCTATTTGGTCACTTCGATCGTTGCTAGGATGGCCTTCAAAGCCGCCCTTAAATTCACCCATTTTTCGAGCGATTTCAAATGCCACGCTAGGAACTGCTGAAGTAGGTAATCACTTTTCCATATTTCGATTGGAAAGGTCGTTATTCTTAAAATGTAGAAATATGACTGTTTATCTCGGAAGTTGCTAGGTGGGCCTTTAAAGTCACTTGTTTTTGGGAGACTTTAAAGGCCACCCTAACAGCTGATAAAATAACCGAACAGGCTACCCTAGCAACTTCTGAAGTTCCAATCCCGTTTCGGTATTTAAGCTGAGATGGAATTTTCATCAAAAATAAAGATTCAATTGGTTGTTTCAGCAGTTTTTAGAGTGCCCTTTGAAGTCACTCCTATGGCGTGGTGTAGTGGAGCGAAAAAGCGAGTGACTTTAACAACCACCTCAGCGAAGACTGAAATAGTCAATGGGATATCAGTATTTTATGAAAAACTACTTTTACAATAGAAACAAAGAAATCTGACTGGTTATTTTACTTGTTGCTAGGGTGGTTTTTACAGCCAATCTACAAAGTTTCAAAGGAGACAGGTATGCGGTAGATTTTATTTTGTGAAATAGAATCAGTGCACACACACATATGGTAGAAAATCAAATTACTGCACACTGGTATTAATAAATACAAAGCAAAATACAAAATTTTTCGTAGAACAAACGACAAAACTCACTGTGGGCTGTATAACAAAGAGTCTGATCGGCTGATGGATGATAATGAAGATGTTTGTGGTTTAGTTGCTTTTTTCATGATTACTGGATTTTTTAATGGATGTTTAGGTTGTGTAAGAGTCAGTTTTTTTGACATGGCCTTTCTCATCCTACTGCTGCGTTCATTATTCTTATTCTGATTATGCGACCTTTTAAGGATTACTGGTGTCTTTTGTCTTTGTGACTAAAAGGTAAATGATTCACAGTATGATATCGGTTGTTAATACTCATGATAACAACAATGATAATAGTAACAATCTAGTTCTCCTATTCCGCATAAACCTATGTAGTTTGGGTTTCAAAAAGTAGGAAATTTCATCGGTAAATATGAATGGGAGGGTTTATACGTGTGTATTAGTGACAGCTTAGATAGGATAGATAGATGGGCCGTTACGGATCTCTGAACCTCGCCTGGTTAACTAGTTTACTAGTTACTAGCCGGTCCTAAGCCCGGGTAAAGAGGGAAGGTTGGGCATAGGGCTAGCAACCCTACCCCGTAAAACAAATCTAACCGCTAAAGAAACTTCAAAGCACAAACAAAATATAAAAAATGAAAACAAACTTATTCCCCGCTGGAATCGGAGAGGCGAAATGACGCCAGTTGGTGAAAGCCTTCGGGAAGCCAATTGGCCGATGTGTCTTCTCTCTCGATGAAAGCGAAAGTAAACGTGGGGACATGGAATGTCCGCACGATGTTTGAACCCAGTAAGGCAGCCCAGATTGCAAAGGAGATGAGAAGGTATAACATCGAAGTGCTTGGGATTTGCGAAAGCAGATGGAATGGGAGTGGACTCTCCAAACTGTCAACTGGAGAATCAATAATCTACTCCGGTCACCCAGACGCCAACCACGAGCACACTGAGGGAGTGGCTATCATGATGTCCTCAAGAGCATCGAAGGCTCTCATGCAGTGGGAACCAATCTCCTCCAGGATCATGACAGCAAGATTCAACTCAAAAGGAAGAAAGGTCACAATCATACAATGTTATGCACCTACAAATAATGCAGAGCAAGAGAAAAAGGAGGAATTCTACAGACAACTTCAATCAACACTGGACAAGACGTCAGTTGGCGATATCAAAATTCTAATGGGCGACATGAATGCCAAACTGGGAGGGGACAACACAGGAAGAGAACTAACCATGGGTCGAGAGGCGCTAGGTGAAATGAATGAGAATGGAGAATTGTTTGCAGAATTCTGTGCATTCAACGATTTGGTGATTGGAGGCAGTGTGTTCAGGCACAAGGATATCCACAAAGCGACATGGACTTCACCAGATGGACACACTAAAAATCAAATCGACTTTATCTCAATCTCAAGAAAATGGAGACGCAGTCTACTTAACACAAGGTCAAGAAGAGGAGCAGATGTAGGTTCAGACCACTATCTAGTGCAAGGAACCTTCCAAATCAAGTTAAAAGCCTTCAAGGAAGCTGGTGATAGACCTCAATTCAAGTACAACACTCGGAAACTGAAGGATGAAACTACAAAGGAGATCTTCACGGCAGCCATCAAGACAAAATGGGAGACATCGAGGGACATCCCTGAAGAAACCTGTGTGGAAGAACACTGGAAGTCTTTGAAAGCTATGTGGAAAGAAACCTGCACAACAGTATTAGGAAGGAAGAAGAAAGAAGACAAGGAATGGATCTCGACGGATACCTGGAAGCTGATAGAGGAGAGGAGGATGGTGAAGCAGAAGATAAACCAGTGCAAGGATGCTCAACGACAAGAGGAACTGAGCACAATGTATAAAACACTGGACAAAGAAGTGAAGAAGAGTGCACGCAAAGACAAAAGACACTTCTACGACACACTGGCAAGTGAAGCAGAACAGGCTGCAGGTAAGAGAGACCTGACGACATTGTATCAAATAACCAGGTTGCTATCAGGGAAGAGACCAACACAGATGAAACCAATAAAAGATGAAGAAGGAAATTTAATTACAAAAGAAGAGAAACAGAGGAAACGATGGGCCGACCACTTCAAGAAGCTCTTGAATCGACCACCACCTGCACTTCGTCCAGAAATACCACCTGCAGCCGCTGAATTACAAGTGAACATAAATCCCCCAACGAAAATGGAAGTCCTGAACGCCATAAAGCTACTGAAATGCGGGAAAGCAGCAGGACCAGATGGAATACCGCCAGAAGCACTGAGAACAGATGCAGAGACAACAGCGGACATGCTCACACCACTATTGCAGAAGGTGTGGAAGGAAGAGAAGGTACCTGACGATTGGAAGAAGGGTTACCTTGTCAAACTGCCGAAGAAGGGAGACCTCAGTGCTTGCAAGAACTGGCGCGGAATCACTCTCCTGTCCACCCCAAGTAAAATATTAAGCCGCATCATCCTGGAGAGGCTTAAAGACGCACTGGATTCAAAACTGCGACCGGAACAGGCAGGCTTCAGGAAGTACAAATCATGTGCTGACCAAATTGCAACGCTTCGTATCATCATAGAACAGAGCGTAGAATGGCAATCAGCTCTATACCTCAACTTCATCGACTTTGAGAAGGCCTTTGACAGCGTCGACCGAGAAGTAATTTGGAAACTGCTTCAATACTACGGAGTACCGCAAACCTTTATCCGCCTCATTCAACAACTATATGAAGATGCCACATGCCAAGTAATCCACAATGGGAAGCTCAGTGATGCCTTTGAAGTGAAGACAGGAGTGAAACAAGGTTGCCTACTATCCCCCATGATATTCCTTATTGTGGTGGACTGGATCATGCAGCAAACAGTAGGCAGCGAGAAGAGGGGGATACACTGGACGACGGAAAAGAACCTAGAAGACTTGGATTTCGCCGATGACTTATGCCTAATGTCACATAAACTTGAAGATCTGCAGGCAAAAACTAACAAGTTGACAGAAGAGGCAGCTAAGACGGGACTTCAGGTGAATATAGAGAAGACAGAAGTGATGAAGATACCGCACCACCACCATCAACAACAACAACAAACTCCAATCACCGTCAACGGGAGAAACTTGAAGGAAGTAACCTCCTTCACTTATCTAGGAAGCACTGTTTCAACTACAGGCGGGACGGACGAGGACGTCAAAGTCAGAATCGGAAAAGCAAGACAGGTGTTCATTAGCCTGAAACCAGTGTGGAGATCTTCTGCACTCAGCATGCGGAACAAGATACGGATTTTCAACACCAACGTCAAGTCAGTGCTCTTGTATGGCTCAGAGACTTGGCGCGTCACGAAAGGGATTTCCAATAAACTACAGACATTCATCAACAACTGCTTACGCTCGCTGCTGAAGATCAGATGGCCAGAAAAAATAAGCAACAAGGAACTCTGGGAACGAACCAACCAAGAACCTATCACGCAACAAATATGCAGGAAGAAGTGGAGATGGATTGGCCATGCACTGAGAAGGCCGACTGAGGACATCACGCGTCAGGCCCTCGAGTGGAATCCCCATGGGAAGCGACGAGTTGGACGTCCGAGGGTGACATGGAGGAGGTCATGCGAGGAGGAAATGAGAGCTTGTGGGCTGTCGTGGAACCAGGTTCAAAAGATCTCAGAGAACAGAGGTCACTGGAGGCGTGCTACTGAAGCCCTAAGTTCCACTAGGAACCCAAGGGACTAATAATAAAATAAAGAATAATAATACGGATCTCTGACCATAGATATCTTCTTGGCGTTGCTTGCATGTGGTGGAATCGCTATGTGAGCAGTATCGAGGTTAGGCGGAGGGCAAGATAGACAAGTCGACTGATAAGGTTGTAAAACTTATTCAATTGAGATGGCTCAGACATGTACTGAACATGTTGAGCCACTGTATACCTCGACATACCATGCTAGAAGAAACTGTATTGGGTTGACAGAGGGTTCAGGGTGACCAGGCAAAGACGTAGCATCAGTCTATGAAGTTTCTGACCGTTGGTTTGAGCCATATAAGGAGGTGCAGACTGCCTGGCTGAGGTCACCGAGACAGTAGGAGTCAGCGGTTGAGAATTCTTTGTGACATGATTGAAAACCGGTCATAATGGTACATATGTATTCACTCTTTGATATCTTCTGAAGCTTTAGTGTTTCCTTCATTTTTGAATTCCCTCTCTTCTCAAACACCTTTGTCTACTTTAATATCAGTCTTTCCCATCCACTTGTTCCATGTATACCACTGTGGAGAGTCGCAACTTGAACCGATAGACTTGTGTGGAAGGTTTTATGTTGATAGTAGTCCATTCACTTCATAGATCTACTAGACTGGTAAGTTTGGACGCAATCAGTATACCTGGGAATGAGGTGTATACAAGACCATCGGTTTTAATATGAAGATGACTTTTGTTAGTTAAACTTCGGATCCTTTTAGCCGTATAATTCTGTGAAAGGTGCTTATTTCATCAATGCTGTAAAATATAAAGACCCATCCAACCCACTTGGTGAAGAGCGAAAATATCTAACGCAAACTTTAACACACAACTGGGACTAGGCAGTATATCGGTTGTTGCGCATTAATCAAGCTGCATATGTATTGCAGTCCTATGGAGGTGTCACATTTCATCGGAATAAGTCAATGTGGTAAAATCCCTGACTTCAGCAGCGACTGATGACGCTTCCATCCTCCAAGATAATCTCTGTCTAGCATAAATTTCAAACATACATTGATGATGAGTAGCTGTAACCTACAACGTAGGTAGAAAGAATCTTTCTTTTTGACCGAGGTACGCTTCCTACCGGAAAGGCGTATCGCAGTACTGCATCATTTCGCCCTTGACGATATTGTAAACTCAGTCAACATCTGACAACTGCATTTGGTTATCACCCGTATATATATGATATTAGGAAGGAATGAATTATCGTAAGTCATAGATAAAAGTTAGTATTAACATCGTGATAAGGATTGCTAATACTTGCAATTCCACACTTACTGCTATATCAGCTAGTAAGTAAACAACTCTAACTTCAGCTAAGTCCCATTAGTCATATTAATTTACTTATTTTAAAAGTCATTTTACTTATGACTACCTAATTGGTAACACCGTTGGGTAGCTCGGTTCAAGAGCTTTCGATTAACCCTTCATCCATTTCTGTATGATTTATTATTTCATTTTTTCTGCTTGACATTGCTTTCATATACAGACAAATCAGACTATCTGTAGTATAAGGACAACAAGTACCAGGTAAGGAGTTGGGTGGACCAAATTGTGTGACTCATCTTTTGAATGAATTGAGGGTACGCCAGATCAATCAAGTTCAAAACTGAATCATCAGAATTATATGCTTAGGTCTATTAAAAGCAGATGAGGTTATAACACTCGCTATTATACTGGATTAAATGGATCACTCTCTGTCGGCTAATGAGCTTTTTGAACGTAAAACTCTATTTTTTCTCAAATTTTATCATAATGTTGTTTTCTTTGTGGTAGCTAGCAGTGGAATTTAAGAGACTATAAATACTAACAAATAACAACTGTTAATCGTTGCACAAGAAGTGGTTATGATGATATTTGGAGCGAAGGATGTCACGTTCGAGTCTGAGTGGGAAAGCCAACACTTATCGGGACACATAAAGATCGAACTAATGCATCCTTAATAAGACAAGATGGACTGCTGAATTCCATTGTAATTAATCTCCAAGAAAACAAGGTCATGATGCTTCAAACATCTAAAGATTCCCATAACATTAATAAAAGGAAAGCTTGAGCATCTTTCCAACGGTCCCTATGAAGAGAATGGATAGTTAAAGTGTCAAGCAATCAAGAACAAGATGAAAACAGAGACTGGCTAGCTTTTAAACGAATTTTGGATGTTCATCGGGGGCTCATTATGATTTTCTCTACATCTAAAATCATGCACATAACGTTTCTATGGTTCACCGAAAATTCATAAACCTAATACCAATAGTGGACTTTATTAACTTCCCAACATATGCATTATCGAAATATTTTGCATCATTACTAAAGCCTGTCTAACGCTCTGTTATCAGCCAGATTAAAGATTCTAATGAATTTAAGTAAAAGACATTGGAACCAGCTATTTACTGCAGAGAATGAAACAATGGTAAGTTATGATGCTGTTTCACTGTATACTAGTATTCACATTGAATTGCTAGATTGTGATCACATATTGTCCAACAGATCTCCGTTGAAACTCGGCTTCATCATGAAATCACTCAAACCTTTTTTAAATTCTACAATTTTCAGGTTTAGAAGAAAACTGTACATGTGAGGAGTTGTAACGGGTTCTTCAGTCTCATATCGATAGACAGTGGTATGCACTGGGGACTAGACACTGACCCCAGTTACTAGCTGGTGACTCGTCGGTGTATGGGAAAAGGCGGGGAAGATGTGTTATTATCTTTCTCTTAGGTTCCTAGTGGAACATAGGGCTTCAGTAGCACGTCTCCATTCCACTCTGTTCTCTGTAGTCCTCCCAACCTGGTTCCACGACTCCCCACAAGCTTTTATTTCTTCCTCACACGATCTCCTCCATGTAACCCTCGCCTTGGACGCCCAACTCGTCGTTCCCCATTTGGATTCGACTCGAGGGCCTGTTGCGTGACATCCCAGAATGATCTTCTCAGTGTATGCTCAGTCCATCTTCACTTTATTTTGCATAGTTGTTGGGTGATGGGTTCTTGGTTGGTGAGGGTAAAGCTGGTTTCTTATAGTTACTCATGTAGGTATCTTGCTCATGTGTGTCAATAAGCAGGAGACACAGTTCCAGCAAGTTTGTATTCATCATGGACTGATAATGATTATGAGCCATATCACCTACAGTCTTCAACCACTGGCTTTGGTTGTCACGTGGACCCCAACCACCCAGTTTACATCTCACCAAATGGCTCAAACCAACCGTCAAAGTTTTCATGAAGTAATGCCATGTTTTATTCTGGCTACCACGAGCCTTTTTACAGCCTGAACATACTTCAGCCAACATTGCATGACTAGGCGTGAGTAACATATATGCTAGCCATCTCAGACGATGAAAGTTCACAATCTCCTCAACATACTTTCCTCTACCCTCTGAAACTTCACACCTGACTTCTGAGTTACTGACGTGGTAACATCACGACACAGCCTATGCTATGGAGGCATCGGTGGTCGAAAACCTGGAGTCTTCACATGTCTTCTACCTTTAATGGTCATGTTTCACGCCTATAGAGTAGAACAGAGCGAAATGCAGGACAGTATAGTCGATCATTAATAGGTTATCGGATATCACTGATGTGTGAAAGATGGCGTAAGTTGGCGAAACCCAATCCAGCTTATTGTATCCATGCAAAGATTTCGTAGGTGGAAAATGAAAAGTATTCAAATGAAGTTTTGTCATTATTGAATATTGGCTAGTTCAGCCTTTTGATATAAACAGCCTTAATGTATTTGCCAACGATCTATCATATGTCCACTTTCCATCGAAAATTAAACATGACAAATCTTTTCACTAAACAGGAATCAACATAGATGATTCACAGTTATATCAGATAAATTCATTTTTGTCTAATTGAAACATATTGTGATCTGAACACCATTCGTAGTCCCTATGATGTAAATTATATAAATGTCAACTATCCTTTTAGCAATCAAACGATGACGGTAGTATCTCAGTATAGCATTACAGTTATTCGTGGTGAAAACATATTGTAAAATTGAGTTAAAAGTGAAACGACTAAACTCTAAGGTAAAGATGTTACTGATTGGTAAGGAATCGGAGTCTAAAACACTGTCTAAGTGACAAAGAGCTAATTATGTGACCTGGTAACCCTGTGGGTGACCATAAATTTATAAATGAAAATATAAAATCTCAGTTAAGTGTTGTCGATCCTATTATTTTATTTATTACAGAAGATATTTCAATTATGACCTATGTGTTAACACTGTTTTATAGTTCAGTTCACGAGCTTTCGATTAATTCCTCATTCATTCATGTATCACTTACAGTTCGGAAATAATCACTGCATATTGAGTGAAGTCCATTACTGTACGTTATGTCATCTTTTGTGTATGAAATTAGTTGTTTTATTTTTATAAATTATTGTGTGTTGTGGTCACGTAATTTAGTTGTACATACGCAGATGATTCAAAGTCCTTGATATGTACGGATAATAAGCAAAAGACTAGTGTTCTGTTGTACACGGCTGAGAAGATCAAGAAGCGTACCTCATTGTATGGCTGAATTGAACACATCAGATTAATCACGCACAAGGTCAGTGTTAAGACTGAATCAGTAGGATCACGTACACTAGACACTTAGGACCAGACAGTTATTACAGAATGAAACAGTGATGCAGCACCTTCTATCCCAGAGTGTTCTTTCAGCTGATGTCAGTCAGTGATAGAAACTGTTTTGAAAGGAGTCAGTGCCCCACAAAAACTCCCTAACTGAATAGATAGATAGAGTTTGTAGTAGATCACGCGTTTGTTCATCATTATTTTTTGACGCTAATAAGGTGGTTACTTTTTTAAGTTTTAGCACATCTACTGGACCTTAAATCGGCATTATTCAGCACTTTAGTCGGAGATAAAGATCAAAAAAGGGATATGCAGTGCAGTTCATCTTCTTGGAGGTGACAATCAGTGCGTCTAGTGTTTCCATCAGCTAATATAATTTACTTTTAGAATAAATTCTGTTGTAAGTTGACTAAATAACCTACTAACCTGATTCCTGTCTTAATTCAGATTCTCTCTTAACAATCGTGTTTAGATAAACATCAGTCTGCTGAATCACATCTCAGACAGCTTAACAAGTCTACCAGCGGGGTTGTAGTTTATTGATTAATTGAGGTGATTTCCAACTAATGGGTGGCGGATTCGAACACCGCCTCATCTACCGAGATTTAGGCGGCCATGTGGGAGTATCATTAATCCTCACACTTTATGTATAGCTTACTGTCTTCAGCATAAATGTTTGTAAGGTTGTTGAGTGTATTTTGAGTCGAATTTTCAATAGCCTTTCTCTTTTAATTTATTTGGATGTTGATTGAGGTGAAAAGGCATGATTGAGAAACTAGTATCATGATCATGAACAGGAAGTTGACAATAAAATCAAAACTTGATTAGCGTATATTCATAGACAATAACCTACATGTTGCCTGTTTGAATCCTCCCGCTAAACTAAATGATCAACTCTATCTATATTAATTTCAATTGGATTTACGTATTTAACTCAATATGAACAAAAAAAACGACTATATGATCAATTAACTCAAATAATTGAGTAGTCTTTCGTTTGTCATTATTACGGACGCTATTAGGTGCAAAAACGATAGTAACTGAAAAAAAATCAATAATCATAATGGCAATAATAACATTACTAATGATATCAAGTAGTCATTAGCTTCATTGATAGGAAATCTAAGGAGTCAGTTTTACCCATGTAGGCGATATATTTCCAAAATTCATATACTACTTAATAATTAGTGAAAATAAGGATAATAATGAGCTTACATATGTCATGTTAAACTGTAAAAAAAAAGTTGGTTAATTGTGAACCACATGAAATTCAGTGTGTTTCATCTTTTAAGTGAAATTCTTTATCACAAGTCATATGATCGATTTCTAGCATTGTGTTGTGTTAATCATATGTATATTGATTTCAGATTGGAATTCATCTTAATTGAATCATATGTATAATTAACTGGTAGTGATAGTGTGTCATGACTTATGATTGGTTAATACATCCATCATTTCTATTGGTTATTTTGATAACAATCTCATGATGATGTGAATTGATGGCGGGTGATATAAATGAATATCAATGTCAATGGATTTATCCTTCACAAATTTGCGGTATGATACTTCATATCTTTGGCATTATATATTCTCTTAATTTATCTGCCTATCTACTGATCAATTGGAAAAGTATGACTTTTTATGCAGTTTAATAATTTCCGCTATCATTAACGTTCATTCAACACTCAGACGACAAATGACCTTAGTTGTTACGGCTGTCATGCCCTAGTGGATAAGGCTTTGGCATTTGAAGCAATGGCTACAAATAATAACATCACTCACTGGGGGGAGGGGGGGGGCAGCAAGTAAATCCAACTCAAGAGTCCAAATACACTAAAATATAATGGATATCCCGTCAGTATCATGGGGTCCTCATGGAAGCCCATCAACTAACAGTAGTCAGTTTTTTGATTAAACAGCTGGATATTCAAAAAGAACTTCCGTAATGTTAGATGTAATCCAACTGGAAGGATTAAGTGCAGCTCGTCAAAGAAAAACTAGACTATTAAAAGTATGCTATCTTGTTTTTTAGAAGGAAGGAAAAAGATCGTCTCACTATTCATACTTAAGAATATTTGATTGATTCTGGACACCAGGTAAAACGACAATCGAACTTCAACGAGGATTTCATAAAAGATGTACGAATAAGACTTCTCCAAACAAAGTAACCCATGGCCAATCAGATTTGAAAGCTTCAACATTGATTGCAAAAGAAGTAGGTTCAGTCACTAGACTTACAATGGACTTAATCTGTGTAAAGATTTTACCTTTAGAAAATGGTTACTTTTCGTGGCCTTACTAATTTGTTACGACATCTCTCTTTATGATGTATCTTTCTCCACGAACTGACATTATTGGGGAATCAATGAAAAACTGGGAGCACTGGACAGCTTTTTCACCCTAGTATGGGATTCCCCAGAAGCAACATGCTTCCAGATGGATATCACCAAGTCCTAATGAGAAGCCATGACATGTGGGGTCAACTAGTCCGGGGGGAAAGTCGATATCAACTGAAGACCTTGGGTGACAGTCACACTGTATTGTGAATTGACAGTAGTTAGAAACTATGACCTATTAAACTCCGACCTAGTAGCTAAGTGGCTAGCGCGATCACCATGGGATCCGGTGGTCTCGGGTTCGACCCCCAACCTAGTCGTCGGTGCATCCTGTACTAGGATAAAACAGTTGTTCAGTGCTCCCTGGTTTCCCAACTGATGTCAGTCCGTGATGAATACTACCTATAAAATAAAATCCCCGTTCATATCAAAAATACATATCTTTATACCAAACCATTCCAATTTGTCATTGTCGAACTGCAATCAGTTATTTTAACACTGTGTTACACCATAAAACCTAGTTAATTACTTAATCTTGCTTCAGCACTCCATAAATTATTTATCAGATTACGTAATTCCCCTTTGAATTTCCAGATCTTCAATGAAAACCTGAATTTTGTTAACACGCTTTCGGATATATTAATTTTATGTTGTCAAAACGATGTAATATGTATGTATGCGACTGTAAAGCGCGAGAATAAGTCAATGAAAAGAGAAACGTTTTGTTAAATTCCTTTTGTTTTAGTATGAGATGAGTATGTCACATTTCCCAGTTACAGCAAACGAGAGAAACAATAGAATCAGAGAGATACAGAGGTAAGTTAATTTGGCAACCACAATATTTCTGAGGAGTCTAATCTAATGCTGTTACTTCACATATTCACATAGCTGAAACTCTATACCTAACTGATATCACTGTGCTGCCCCTCTCACTGGAATCATGAAACCCAAAAGATTCATTAGAAATCATTGATAATCAAATGGCTATCCTTCGAACATAACCTCGACTGGTTAAATAGTTCACTAGTTACTAGCCCGTCCTAACCACGCATAAAGAATGAAGGTTAGCAATGAAGCTAACAACTCTAACGCGGAAAACTAATCCAATCGCTAAACAAACTTCAAACCACAAAGGAAATATGAAACATAAAATTAAACTTATTCCACGCTGAAATCGAAAAGACTAAATGACACCCGTTGGTGAAGGCCTTCAGGAAGCAAATTGGCCGATGTGCCTCCTATTGATGAAAGCGAAAGTAAACATGATGACATGGAAGGTCAACACCATGTATGAACACACCAAGCATGTCCACATTCCAAAACAAGTGAGAAGGTATGGCATACAACTGCTAGGAATCTGAGAAAGCACATGGAATGGAAGTGGACTCTCCAAACTCTCAACTGAAGAGGAGTCAATAATCTACTCCAATATTGTCACTCACACGACAACCACGAGCACACTGAGTTCTCCAGTGGATATCATGATGACCCCAACAGCATCGAAGCCTCTCATGCAGTGGACACCAATCTACTCCTGCACAATCACATCATCACAGCAACATTCAACTCAAAACGAAGGAAAGTCACAATCATACAATACCACGCTACTCTACGCTACGCACCTATAGATAATGCGGACGGTAAACAAGACAAGAAGGAGGAATCCAACAGACAACTGCAATCAGTAATGCACAACACCCCACTCCAGTTGGCAGCATCAAATTCATTCATCGAAACGATGAGATGACCATTTCAAAAACTCTTCAATCGACCACCACTGCCAACACCTGCAGCTCGTCCACAAACACTACCAGTAAACACAAGCCAACCGACAACAGCAGAAGTCCTGAATGCAATAAAGTTGCTGGAATCCGGGAAAGCAGAAGGACTACATGGAATTCCTCCAGAAGCACTCAAAACACACGCAGAGACATCAGCAGACATACTGACACCACTAGTGCAGAAAGTTTGGAAGCAAGGAAACGTACCTGCCTATTGATTGGAAGGAGGGCTACCTTGTCAAACTCAGAAAGAAGGGAGACTTAAGTGTTTGCAAAAACTGGTGTGGAATCATACTCCACTTCTCTCCACCACAAGCAAAATATTAAGCCGCATCATCCTGAAGAGACTAAACAATGCTCTGCATTCAACTGGATTACGACCGGAACAGGCTGGCTGGTTGGCTACCTTCAGGAAGAACAAATCATATGCGGATCAAATTGCAACCCTACGCTACACATCATCAGTGAACAGAGTATAGAATGGTAATCAACTCAACTCTACCTCAAATTCATCGATTTTGTAAAGGCCTTCTACAGCGTCGACCGAGAAGTAATTTGGCAGGTGGCTGCTTCAATACTACGTACGGTCTCAGTGCCACAAACCTTAATCAACCTCATTCCACAGCTATATGCTATGCTGAGTGAGGATGCCACATGCCGAGTGATTCACAATGGGAAGCTCAGTGATGCCTTTGGAGTGAAGTGAAGTGAAGACAGGAGTAAGACAAGACAAGGCTGCCTACTATCACCGATGATCTTTCTGATTGTGGTCGACTGAACTGGACTGGACTGGATTGGATCATGCAAGGAAGTGTGAGGAGCGAGAAGGAGGGCATACGCTGGCTGAACCGATGAAAAGACAACTTTAGAAGGTGATTTGGATTTCGTCAACCATGATGATTTATGTCTAATGTCTTGTCGCACAAACTCGATGTTCTGCAGGCGAAAACTAACAAGTGACCAGAAGAGGTAGTGAAGATGGGACTTCTTTCAGGTGAACGTAGAGAAGACAGAGACGACAAAGATACCCGGTCATCATCAACAAGAATGACAGGGAGAAATCTAAAGGAAGTAGTGTCTTTCAACCACCTACCTATGTAGCCAGCATCGTTTCAACTACAAGTAGCGGCACAGATGCAGATGTCGAAGACAGGATTAGAAAGTCAGTACGACAGGCCTTTGTTCATTAGCCTGGACCGCTTAAGCTGACACCAGAGGTTTAAATGTCTGAAAAATGATTATCACAAAGCCGTAGTATGTTGTACTTGGCCTAGAGAACGCTGGGTATACAGTGTTAAAGATTTCTTACAGCGGTATTATAATGTCTCCTTAGCTCTTTCTGATTGTGAGCGGTTACATTATTCGTATATATTTACATTCATCGTTCGAACTGAAAGAAGCTATCTGAAGACCAAACTTCAAATAATTTAACAGTTAGTATCAGCTAAAACCGTTCACATTATAGTATTAGACAACGTTTGAGTTACACTTTCTGAATGTTTTAAATGAGGGAGACAACAAGGTGTTTCCTATCACAGAATAGTTCATAGAGAATCCTACATGGAATAGACAATACAGATAATATGGTAGCTAAATAGCTTTGAACAGGAGGAAAAATCTAATCCACTTATTGTCTTTGAGTATCAGAAAGGTCTCTATGTAAAACACGATTGATTTCATCAATTCCCAAGAGAACTTTAATAATACCAAGTTAAGGATTGTCTTCTCCAGACGAAAACTAGGCTACAGGTTTCAGTCATCTAAATGTGTATCCACAAGTTTACTTGCTCCTGCTTTTATCTAGTTACATTGACCGTACAAAGAATATTCCTTATATAAACTTTTCTATACCATTATCATATTTGATTGTCAAGAAGAAAATGGAAATCAGTTAATAGTTCGATACTTTGAACGACTGATCAGTTCAGGTGATAAAACTCAACACAAGCCATTATTTAAAACTGTTTACAAAGTAAAAACAAATAGTTCCAAAGGTATGCAATTTCACAGTCAGTCAGTCAGCATCAACATGTGACCTGATATCACTGTGTTACGTTCCAAGTTGTTGTATCTCATATCAACAAACCATAGTACAGAACACCAAGAT